ATGGCGAAACTGCCGACCGTGAAAGCTCCGCTTGCATTTCGAGCGTATTTGTTCCAAAATCTGCAAATGTCACGAATTTTACGCGAATCGGGCAAGTCCGAAGAGGCGGAATCTCTCCTGATAATCGCCGCGAGAAATGACGTATCGCTTCTTCAGACGCGTCGCGAGCAGTCGCGGTCGCTTATCCAAGTGAAAGCGATCGCGGTTGAGTCAGGCAGGCCGTCTGACCTTCGTACACGGTGTTACTACTACGATAGCTCGATACACCACTTTGCTACCCCGCGTCGATGCCACGCTCGTCGCCTTTACGACCTAACGCGACCTTACGGCGAGAAGGTTTATGTCACATTGTGTATTCCGCGTGGATCAGCGCGTCTAATTATTATTCACGCATGGTCCAATATTTTCGCACAAAAATAGAACTGATTTATTTATTACACGAGAGAATCTTAAAAAAAAAACAACAACAACATAGCTAGATAAATAAATGTGTGCAGAAAATACAGTAAAGTTGATAGAGTAAATACACGAGGTTCTAATAAAAGATTTCCTTGATATTAAAAAGCATCTTTATAGCATATTGACAATTTATCAAGAGGCCAAGTTTCTTACTACTCGGAACTATATTTCGCGCGGTTACTTCGAGCCGTGCATGTGGCAGCTATTTTTATATTAGAGATGTTGTAGTGATATTGCACGGAAATGGGGAAAAAACCGCCACAATATTGTGCACGAGATAGTCGCGAGCAATAATGGAAGGTTAGTCTCGGCGTGTTGGCTGCGTCGCGTCAGTCTGGCTGGCACGAAAAGACACTACTGTGTCATGGCCACGGGGCATGTTTCGTCTTGAACAAACCAACTTTTGTCGGTGACGCGAGCGCATACATTCGCTATCTCACGCAGGAGGACGCTGACACGGGGGAAAATTATTTTTTAATCTCATCCTTCCATTCTTCACCTGAACTAATATTTGCTAAAGCAACGCATCAACGTTATTGATGAGGTAAATCTCTGCGCTAAATTAAAATTTCGTAAAATATAAAAGTGGTTTTTTTTAATATTAAAAGGGCTTAAATATTAAGCGACTCCCGCGACTCGGATCGATGTGCCTCGCGAAATATTGATAGTCAGGTTGTTGGCACGACTTCAATGTTTGAATTTGCCCGGCAATCCCGGCGCGACGAAGCTTGATGAATGAAGCGGTCGCGATATATTGACGACACGGATAGATTCAGACCGGGAAGTAGTGTGATAAGCGATAGCCCGACAGTCAGATAATTGTAAGTATCCCGTTATCGCGGCTCGACAATCATTACTCTGCAGTGATCAATAAATACTCAAGTATCCGTGTCATTAAAATAAACAAGCCTCGTAGAAGCTCTTCTATGTTTTTCCAAGTCTTTTTTTATGTCAACATTACGCTGCAAGCATTTGTAATTTTTTTTCTTCCCTTTCGGGCTAATCGTTCTTTTCAAATCGCTGGCGTTATTAAGAACCGCGATTGCGTTAGAACTCTGCCGTCTTATCGACGCGAGACCTAAATGAAATCAATCGATATTGATTCGCGCAAACAACGATTCAGATTATATTCTCTATCGTTTCTTGGGATATAATAGACTCTCATGTTCTCCGGACGTATTTCAATCACGTATACACAGAGACACAATGTGAAAGCGATGTGGAAGACAGCAATCAGTGCTATACATTGAAACTTATTATGCAACCATAACTTCGGTTTTACTGCAGCCTTCACCCTAGGTGGTAAGAAACTTACGTCATTGTAGCGGATACCGCCGACATCACGCACGTACTATATCTGCTCTACGCGTTTCAAAGGACACTTTCTTAATAAAAAAAAAAAACAGTACGTCACGCTATTATTACCTTGCGCATTTCGACAAAGTGGACGACGATTGCGTGACCAGCTTGAGAATTTCATTTAAATGATTTATAAACACCGATCTTTTATGTATCCCAAAGTTATCGAGACAAGGAAACATTATGTATTCGATTGATCGGAGAACTTTTCCTTCGAATTTTTTCGATAAATAAGAAAAGCAAAAATCCGAAAAAATTTTCTGATCGACCCGATATAAAGCATCTGCGTATGAAAATGCAGATGTAAGGCAGGATATGAGTTGGGATGCTTCTCAAGCTTTTTTAGCTGCGTTCAATTATACTCACGAATCAATCCAGGTGTTCGTGACTAATTCGAGCGCGTGGGATGTCTTATTAGTCGGTCGACCATACTAGAGACGGTGGATGGGTGAAGGTTGCAGTAAAAATCACGATTACGGTTACAGGAGAAGTGCAGGAGTGGGCGGCTTAACGATCGATTTTACTTGTCAATGTAAAAAATAGATGAAATTCTTTTCCTTTCTTTCTTTCTCTATGTCGATAAACGATGTCTCTATTAAAAATGCACGAGCGTTAGCTCAGCGCGCCTAATTTAATTTCTTCAAGAATGATGGTTGATGCCTTAATAAATAACGGCACTCGAATTTGAAGACATTAGCTTGCGCCGTATCTAAAAATACAGAAATCAAATATTGACCTCTTTTGCCTCGACGGCGTTTTATAAGGCATATCTTCAAGTAATTATTTATGGAACAAAATTGCGGATAATTGTATAAACAGCGTAAATAGATTACGTAAATCATATAAATAGACAGGCGCAAGAATTCTAAAGGAAAGATGCACACAGACACACACACACACACATACGCTCGTCTATTCCTGCAGATGCTAAAGTAAGGCATGTGCATCCGTTCTCATGTAATTTTTTCTCATCCTCAAAGTATGCGGTCGATCTCGGTCAGCGATCGAGCCGATTAATAAGTGATTTATGAGATCCGTGATACCGCAATTGTAAAGTAGCATTATATCTGACGTACATTGGTGCGCTCTCGCAAGCAAATAATGTAGTAGTCGGTTTTCTAAGAAAAAACGATCTTCGAGGCAAGAATAAGTCTAAAACATTTTCTGATATGACTCGTAACATTTCACACATGTCCGACATCTTGAGAGATATATTTCAAATTGTGGATTTTGCAGAAACAGAAACATCATATGCATAGCTTCTGGAGCGTCTTTTTGAATTTCTCCCGCTCTACCGTGATAGATTACTATCGCCGTCGTTTAATATGTCAAGGTTGGTATAAGTATCGCTTCCTTCTCTCGCCTTATCGATATAAATGATCGCGCGCGAGTCGCGCACGTGTATATTCATTATTTCTCCAAGAAAATGTAAAGTGGGCGTACGGGGGCAAAATATAAGGGTCGATAAGAGCGCGTATACGTTATCGATGGCATTACGAAACAGAACGCCCGGACGGCCAGGGTCGCGTTAACGGGTCTGCGTGCTTCGACAACCACAAGATTGCCGCGCCAGTTCGCGAAGTAATTCAACATTTGCGATTAGTTTTTTTCCTCGGAGTAATTATTCGGAGTAGTTCCAGGAGAAGAATTATTTGCGCAATTTTTGTCTCGTGTGTTAACGCACGATATCGCAGACACAGTCCAGACACGAACTTTAAGATTAAGTTGGTATTTTATTTTATTTTTTTTCTCTTTTCTAGAGCGATGCTTCTCGAGCAAACCGCGTAACAAAAAAAGTTTCCTTTAAATATCAACGTTTAATTTCGCGAGCAACTTTTCATAATTCCACCTTCATGCAACAGCGCAGCAGAAAATTCCACATTTTCTCCCAGCTTTAATAAAGTTACGAAATGCACAAATATGCCGCTGCCCTGAATTTTCTCGCAATTTTGAATGTGCATCCAACCGCGCATATGAGACCGCTATCACGGCAGATTGTTCTCCTAGCAATTGCGACGCCCCGACGCTCGACACAGTTCGTCACAAATGTTACACATTTTTGGTATTTCTCTTGGGATGCCTACGTCAATAAGAAATCCCAGACAAACGAGTAATTACGCTGAACAACAGTTCATTGTCGACAGCGTTGTTAAATTTATATTCGCGGCTGCTTGTATGTGTAATTTTTCATTTTCATGCCCCATTTAAAATTAATGAAAGAAATCTTTTCAATCTGTCAAGTCTTTGTTCTCCAATCTAATTATATTTAAATTTAATACGATAATATACTCAAATTAGAGGGAAAGAGATAGAGAGATAGAGAAAGAGTTAAAAAGTAAGCGGAATAAAAGTAAATCTATTTAATGAAGAAATAACACACACACACACATATGCGCGCGCGCGCACACACAGCTTGATTATAATCTCCTAAACGATTACCTGCTTTTGAGTTCAGAAAAATAAGACTCTAAACAGATTGCTCTTTCGCCAAGCCTGATGTCGATCGATGCAAAAGATGCAATTTGCAAACTTTGGCCGACGTATTTTCCATCGTGAAGACTTAAGAGCGAATTAGCGAATGTAGCATGAACGGGGTTACAGGGCCAAGGCTCTATATTTCTACGTCCCTCAGTATTCCTTGTCACCTAATGCTAATGCTTCTCACAAGCTTGCCGTCAACTTGGCGTCGCAATGCGAATCTTGCATGTATGCGAGCTGAGATCGCTGCAATTTATAAGTTAACTCGCTGTGAACACAATTTCTACAAAAGATTTATCTCGAAACGGCACTATGTTTATACACAGTTGTATTTTCATTGCAGAATTGTGGTATTTTCTTTTCGATTCTTTGGCGAACTGCAAAGTTGACATGTTAGCGTAATCGAATCGTCTCTCGTTACTTTTTCATTTTTATGTAAAATAACATGCTAAATAAAAAATGCATAATTTTTTATTTACATTTTTATAGGGCTGTATTATACCGCGTAGCTGTTCCTATTACATTCTCTTTCGCGAAATTATATCGAGTGAAATATCCATGTTTACCATAAATGTTACGATAGCGATTACGCGTTCTAGATGAGAACGATATCCGCGTTTGTTGTTATTCCGAAAGAATCACATCACAACTAGTAGCATTATTTATGCTACCTCTCATAATCTTCTTTCCTTCTCTTTTTTTAGATGGCGACGACAACACGTCCGCGCTAAGGCGACAATGAAACGCTGAAAGGCCTTCCATTCGCAAAAGTGGATGAAGAGGGCCGAACGCGAGAATGAGTGCTCGTAAAAGTTGAAGGGGAAAATCTACACAACGAATAGCAACAGCCTGCCTCGTTCATTGCGACCAGCCACATATCTCACGTTAAGGTATGTTGACGACACATAAAGAAAGTTATTAGAAAGTAACAGAGTACACTGTCAAGAAGTTGCGAGTCGCTGCAATTTTCTCTCACGTAGTGATATACACTTTTCTTTGCGGTAATATCGGCACTTTTTGCTTTTATTATCTTCTGCAACGCGGCACTAAAAGCATCGATTCTTGTAAAAACTTGTTAATGCACAAAAACAGCTGTGCAATCCCCCCAATTATTGCGTTTGCCGTGGCAAGTTTGCCAACGTTTCAGACTTCCCTTTTCAAGGTGCAAAGAAAGATTAAAAAAAAGATCTTTCTTTTTTCAAAAGATGCTCTCAGTACGGAGCTTTTAGAAAAGATTGCACAGCTTTCTTCGCGACGAATCCCTTTTCACTTACAAGGTTTCTAATTTGCACCGCTCGTAAAACGACTCTGCCGTACAAAATGTACGCTCTCGCGATTACTCTTTAAAGTCTATAAAATCTCCCCTTTCGCCATCGTTTGCTCCAGTGACACTTGCGCTCCACGTGTGTGTGCGTGTGCGTTCCATTTGACGATTTCACCCTCGCGATTGTACCGCATCGCCCCGCGCGCAACCTTGTCCCTCGCTCATTTCCTTACCCCGTCCTTTCGGCTTCGCGTGATTCCACGTGCCGTTTCGCCGACGTGACTCGTGCCACAACGTGATTAAACAGTCCCGACGAAGTCGACCCCTCTTATCCCCGCGGACCCCCCCGCAAACCACTGCCCGACAACTTAACGGTCAAGTTCCTTCCTTGCGACGTTTAGCCGTGTCGATAAGTGCGCCGAGTTGGCAGACACCTGGTAGCGCGGTCAAGTTCCCCCATTGCCAAGCGCGATAAGCCGCAGGAACAAAGAGCGCTTGTAAAAATAATTGAGGGGATGCGCGAAGACCCTCCTCTTTTCACGCTCTCCTTTCTCTCTCTCTTCTTCACCCTTTTTTTTTTTTTTTATCAGCGAGGTCGGCTCTTCGCATTGACCCTTAAGTACTGCGGAACGCGGACCGTTACATGAAGTTACATGAAGTCGCACAAAGCGTGAGAGGAGCATAGCGTGAAAACGAGTCGCACGCGGACTCTCAGAATGGAACGGGCTGAGCCACGTGACGTAGTCTATAGCGTTCCGTGCCGCAACGTCCCGTATTGATCGGACGACATCAGCTGTACGCTGTTGGTAGCGTTTATACCAGCGCCAGCGTGGACGCCCGCCGGTCTGACTACCACTATCCACTACCACTGGTCGCGATGCTCTCTTTCCTTCTCGAGCGTGCACAACGATGTCAATGTGTCACTGTTATAACGCTTCTGGCCGGAGCGGCGCACAAAAGTTTGCCCAATGTACACAAAACGGAGGAAAAATATTTTACTTCCTCATGTAAAAATATTCAATTTTTTTTTATTTTAGGATCGTTTAGTTGAAGTATGTTAATCCGAAATTCAAATTTAGAAACTATAAAAAAAGATATATATACATACATGTGCGTAGAAAATTTTATGCATAATATGTAAATTTAGTTATTTTTTGCAGTGTGAAACAAATATAATTCTATCATTCTATATCAATAATAAATTTCATTATTTCAACGTTTCAAAATTAATTGCTCCCGCATTAACTTTTCATAGACTTTACATAAATTAAACTCCCAAATGTAAAAACAAGATTTCAATGATTACTGCATTATTCCTAAAACTGTTAATTTTTCAATTGCGTGAAAATTATTGCTGCTACTACGTGTCATTATACGTACATTATTGCAATATTATTACACATACTGCGATCGTGCGGTTAAAATAAGAGTCCCAGTGGTGCCAAACTTTACTAATAAATTATATCATTCGTAACGCAGCTGGCATACAAAATGATCAGCGGCAATGTACTGTAATCATTTATTATCGGCTCATTACTTGATAGAGATAATTATTACGTACATCCTGAACATTATTTATGGGCAATTATTCGTGCGCCTCTCTCCGTGTCGGTCCTTATTATTATTATTATCGCTTGACGCCATTATCGATTATTGCGTATTATCGACGCGAAAGCGCTTGCACGCACATGTTGTGAAGCAGCGCGAGCGTAGCGGACGATACAATTACACTCGCATACTTGACCCTACTTGAATGATGCCCCCTCATCATCGTCGACTTCAATATTTAACGATTTAACACATATTCTCAAGTGTGCCACATCGAGTTGACGTATCCGAGATGACGTATGCAAGCACAGTTATAACGCTCCACGCACAACCGCGACCGCAACCGCTATAATTTTCTTATGACCATAGGCTAGCCCGTGCTCCGCTCGCTGTGCCAATATCTATAGCTGTGCGGCACCGAGAAGGGTTGGCAATTTATCTCTATCCCTTTCCATTATGACTTCATCCGTAATGAAAAATAGAAAAGCAAAATTTAGTTGGATCGGCGGTAAATTAATCGATGTTGGCGCAATCGATCCTTCGTGGCGTACCCGATTATATAATGTTCCGTTCACATCCTCCGCTCTGTTATATATATTAGACATATAATTCCGCAAAAAGCGCATAAAAATCGCTATTTTTGTCGCATAAAATATTATCAGCGAATAGATTTTTGTACGGTTGTTTCTCGCTTGCGACAAGTTTTTTCTCCACCTGTAGATCGCGCACACACACGCACACGTAGGTAATTTGCAAAGACGCGGCAGCTGCTCGATTGAAATTTACCGGCTCGAGAAAGTGATAGTCGGCTAAAGCCGTGCATCGTGCGGGACGAAAGGCGTTACCATCAATATTGGAGTATGACTTTCGTTCCTAAGTGGATTGGTACAGCAATCTGGTTAAGCCAAGGATTTTCTAATAGGGATTGCCCGCTAAGACACAACTACGTAAAATAGGATTAGCCCGACTCGTTGAAATGATGTGCAAGGCAGTAAATTATGTTTGCTCGAGAGCCCAAAGCTGATTTATTTAATGCTCAATTTGATAATAGCACCATTGATACTACAAGATGCGAGCGAATAATGTTTCAAGTGGATGTAAAAATTGAGAAAGACATGCGAAAAAATTATTTCAAGATGACATTAAATTATATTATATTGCACTTCGTGTCAACTTGTCATAAACGCAAAAGAACAGCGAGCTGCTGCTGTTGAAAGATAAAGCGATAGTGCGTGAGCACGGCCTATAAGAGAATAATTAAACATTCGTTCTCTTGTACCACCGCAGAAATGAGACCCGTTTAATTAGCCTTCAGGAAACCGGTTTTAATTAGACAGAGAGTAATGCATGAAGACATTTCATAAGATTACCAGACCAGAAGACATTTAACTTAAAACACATCGTAAAGCGAACGAATCGCTTATGAAAACAGCGCTCGCTCCTTATTTTCTGCACAATCGCACATTTTAATATATGATAAAACTACGAAAAGTGAATACTTGTTTAATTATAAAAAAAATATACAGCATTATTGAAGATTGAAAATTAAATTTTAACTTTCAACCTTTTTTAATTTTCAACAAACCTGTCAAATGCGTTAATATACATAATAATCATAATATGCATATTGCATTAAATTTTCATAAAGCGATTTTAAAATAATTAAAAATTGCGCAGCGTCCGTAGAATATCCTATTTTTTTTAAGCCATGAAGATAGTAATTTTATATGACGAAAAATCGCAACATGTTACGTCAGTTTAAGCTCTTTCGTCAAAATCTTAGAAATTCGATTTTTTATATAAAAAAAAAAAAGAGAAAACACACTTGATGTTGCAATAGTACTTACATGTACATTATGATGCTACTTTTCTGTTTCAGATGACATAGAATGGGTTGGGTGGCGCTAGGGCGGTGTGCGGGTGGTGGCGGCCGCCTCTCGTCCATCCTCTCGCTGTCTCTCACCTCCCTCGCGAGCTCCCTCATCTTCACCTCCCTCTGTATCCTCACACTTGCCTTTACTCTCGTCACTCTTGTGCGTGCTGAAAACATGTACGTATTGCACACGATCAGTTAAACGTCATATATGAATCGTCTTTTAGCTTCTCGATCATCTGCCACCGCGATTCGCTTTTACGATCTGAGAAAATCTAAGTACAATGTCGGAAACGTTTTTATGAGAAAGAAAGAGAGAAGGAGCGGTGATAAATGATGGATCGAGAAGCCAGGGTCGATTGTATTGTCGTAGAACATACGTTCCGCTCTTTAAAGAGGAAGGAAGAGAGTATCATCGGCAAAAATGATTGATGTATTCGACTCAATCTCACGTTTTCTATTTTGTCAGCGGCTCGAGCCCGACGCGTTGTATATATAATAAACAGAATCCCGCGAAAATAATGTTACTCCCGTACAGGAAACTCCGAGGTGGAAATAATTTATCACCCATCTTAGAATTGCGTTCAGTCGTAAAAAAAATCGCCCCATTTGGCTTAGTATAATATTGATTCGAGCCCTTCAATTGTGGCTGACAGTTACGACCGCGCGATCGATGCCGAACATAACTACGTGTACTGTGTCGCTCCAAGTATATTCTCTCCTTCCTTATTCTGGAGCGCTCTTATAAATGTCTGTAATTGATTACTTGACAAACTCGTTCTGTTACTCGTCGGAATCTTAGTCGAAGAGAGCGAGATGGGAATTACGACGATTTTTCTGCATGTAGAAGCGTGTTATCTAGAATTTTATGGATCGAGAATAGAATATATATTGTCAGTATACTCTCTATTTTTTAATCGCGCGTTTACAATACTGGCGATGAGAGAAATCGAGTATATACGCATTACGAATGTTTCGATCGTACTATTTGCATCGAATGTATTAGCACAAGTAGACAAGTGGCGAAACTTTTTAGTGATTTAGTCACGATCGAAGCAAGCAGTCGTGACTCTCGTAGCATCCTACTTATCGTAACGCGAGATGAAGCTAGATGCAGTTTTCAGTATAGTGCTTTAGAGAGCTGCGTCTGTTTCTATTGAATCGGTAGAGTTTTTTTTATATATGTACATACATTTCAGACGAATGCGACATACGTTTTACACTTAGAACGTTAAACGCAATTTTAACAAAGTTTGACTCGGATCACCTCGAAGGTCGAAGTGGTTTTATCGGTTCAAAGAAATTAAGCTTACAATTCTATATAATAAAAGAAATACATTTCTAAATCACTATAATGAATAAATTAAATATCAAATTTATCGAAATAATCAATTTTTTGCGCCCCGACATCCGTGCTTTGGTTCTTTCTCGCAAAACTTATTCTCCGTTAATTTCTTGAAACTCGTTCAATTTCATTATCGATTATCGTCCCTTTCCCGAAAAACGAAACGACCTTCGAGAGGTATCGAGATAGGAGAGGCCACCTCCTGCTGGAAGCTCGCGGGGAAATCCCACTGTACGGCACACCGTACAGTAAGCTCGTCGGATTTTCTCCGCGATCTGCACCTACAGTGCGCGTTGTGTTGCAGCTTCGAGGAAGGCAAGTCGGACAAGGAGATCCTGGACAACCTGCTGCTCGCGACGCGTTACGACAAGCGGCTTCTGCCCCCGGTCCAAGGTACACTCAGCCCTCCGTCCCGCCGTCCGTACGGGCGACTACAACCCCCCCCCCCCCCCGATCCTCAACCCAGTGAACCCCCCGCCGATCATCCAGAGCACCTCGAACATCACCGGCACCGCTACCACCACACAGCACCACACAACCACAGCTCACTGCTCACCCCTCGTTGTAAGGGTACTCTCTGTAAATCGACCTGTGCTCGAAAGTATGAGAGGAAGAAGGAATGTGAGACAAGTTTATACAAGAGGAAAGATGGGAAAGATAGGTGTGAAATTGCGCGAGAGAGAGAGAGAAACAGAGAGAGAGAGAGAGAGAGAGAGAAAGAGAGAGAGAGAAAGCGAGGGGAAGCTGTGTGATTGAGCGAACAATTTGGCATCCGATTTGGATTCCGCGTCGTTCACGTTCGAGAAAACTACATTAGGATATGCGGCCCTCAGGTCATTATTCTCGCCTCTCTCAATTCTTTCATCAATTTCAAATTGATTCGACTTTGAGGAAACTTTTTTGTTAGAGCATCGTCTCTTTTTCCGTTGGTTTTTTACGTGCGAAATAAAAGTACTAATGGCGAACCGCCGCTCGTTTTATTTGATATTTTCCGTTTCTTCGTGTGTAGTTTTCGTTCGTGCGCTCGCAAGAAGCGAAAGGTATCAGACATGAGATTCTTCAGTTTTCTTTTTTCTTTTTTTTTTTTTTTCGAAATATGTTCGAAATTATTGGATAAAACTTCGTCATTTCGAGCTCTTCCATTCTCTGTCGCAGCTCGGATTTCGAGTTTTCGAAAGATCTTATCGCATCCATTTGAGGGATAATCTATTGGAAAGATAACGGCATCTTTTCGATACGCTTAATGATCCATGTTAATGGAGGCGAGTGAGGTCGCGATATTGGATAAAGATTGGAGATACGCCAAGCGATAATAGTTATAAAGTGTCCGAGTTATTAACGGCTTCACGTCAGATCTGTCATAGACGTGGTGGCTAATAACAACTATGCTTATGCGTACGGAAGCGATGGCAGCACCTAGTTATTAACATGTACTGAGGAGTGACACGTGCCACATAATGCTGTTGCAAGTCCACAAAGCGAGATTTCGCTAATCTGTCTGCCATTAATCAGACTCTAATTTCAGCATTTAGGCGAGTTAACGGGATAAACACTGTTTGCCGTAATGAACGAAGTAATTTCAGAATACACGTGCAGAACAATTTACGCGCGTCGTGTAAGTTTGAACCACGCGCTCCAGCACATTTAATTCTCTTAAAATGTAATTTCGAACGAATTTGATTCCTTTCAGTTCCTTCCCTTCGAGAGATAAAATTGAAATTTTAACACAACATTGCTCAATTGGAAATTTTAATCGCGAATATTACACGTACTTTTAACCGTTAACGATAACAAATATTGCAGAATTTTATTTGCATCGTATGAATACATGATCAGAATCTATTGCGGCGGAGGAAAAGATCGCGCTGCAAATGCATGAATCGGATTGTTGCGCGGGAGAGATAGTAGAAAGGTGCATTCGAGAAGCGGAGTGCACTCCAGCTGCACGAAGATTGCATTATTCAGACTTCATCAGTGAAACGGCTTCATGCGCGTCGCGCGACAGCACAGATTACCGATTCTTTCGCGGAGTGTCCTCAATCCACAGACCTTTGCATGCTATCCGCATATAATTCGTGGATAAGAAATATACTCGGCGTATCGTGGAACAATTAAAGGGAAGCAATACCGACAGTTCTGTGTTCTGCGATCGTGAAAGGCTCGCGGATAAGGATGGGAAGGGTTGTGGGCAAGGGTTGTTTGGTGTCATAGAAACATACACACTGAAAGACACACACAGTTCTCATCACTCTTCTAAGAAACACTCTGTCTCCCGCAAACGGTATCATACGGTCGTACCTATTACATACCCATATCAAACGCATCATAACGATATTGTTAATTAAGAATATAACGAACGGAAAGAAAATTGGAAAGAGAGACGAAAAATATATGTATGTAATTTTTGTATAATCTGAGCCTCGCAATATCATCACCCTTTTTTTATCGCTGAATAATTATCAAAAGTATAAGCCGTATAGATCCAGCCACGAACGACAAAAAAAAAAAAAAAATAGAAACGGAATTACTGACTCGGGTATGCCGGACTAAGCGGCTGTCTCGAAGTCGTTACATTGAAACGTGGAATGGAAACGAAGAATGCACAAAATGAGGATAAGACGTGCGCAAGGGTTATTGGGTGTTACAGATGCTGATTTCTGCTGCGGATTGAGATGGCCTGGTGACACCACCGGCTTGACAAACCAGTCGTCGATCTTCTCTAACGACCCCGAGAACCAGAACAAGAACCAGAACAATAACCACTACACTCCGCCGCACCAACACCACCGCACTCACCTCCGCGGTCCGTCCTTTTAACTTTTATTTCTTGTTACTGCGTAATGCCATCCATATAGAAGATAATTCACCGTTATCATGATCTCTTGGTCGATTCAAATTGGTCTACTCAGCTTATTCAGTACCGGCTCGATCTATTCGGCTTACGTCTATGCGTTAGAAGATAATCACAATTTGCCCTTGGATATTTAAATGCAAATTTTTGCACAGCTCGAGAAAATCGAGGAAAAAAAGTATTACTTTTTCTTTTTTAGGATGGAAGAGAATGCTCTCGTCGTTAGTGCTTGTGTTTTTTTGTTTGCGGATGTACGGACAAATAATACCGCTCGCGGAGGAGCTGCGATCAATGCAAATTGAACTTGTTAAACAGTTTGAAGAGTTAAAGTTTGAAGGTGGAATTCTTCGAATATTTCTGCATTATAGTTCGATGTCTCCTTTTCTGATTGTTATAGTTTGATCTTGTTTTAATGTATCGGACGGGGGATTCTATACTCCACCTCCGTGCGATATAATTGGCCGGCCAAGTTTCAGAGAAGGCCGCCTGTTAACGAGAAATAATTAAAACACTCGGTCGAGTGATGACTGGTGTGATCGCGAGCGTAGTCGCCGATTGTAGACTTAACTATTGATTAATGACTGATATAGTTGGTCGAGTTAAGTACTGAATGGGTCGTGTATCGACCTTTCGTGCGAGGGTTTATAGGTCGATCAGGTGTGTAATATACGTCTTCGTACAGTATGTATGCATAATAACATACTTAATCGTGTTAAAAAATTACATCGCGATTTACTTTCCGCGATAAAAGTTATGAATATCCATAGTTTCGTCAAGTCTCGCTTTTAAATGGTTTAACCGCCATTAATTTTTATCCGCTCTATTAACTGAACGCGGATAGTTAAAGCCGGTTTGACGCGAATCGAAGAGAGTTGAATACTATTGGGGTATCGATATCTAATTACCGCAATTAATTACATCGGCGATCAATACCGTCGACCTAAACCTTCGCCACACGATCTTAGCACCTTAGCAATCTCGCACACGTACACTCATATATACATGCACAAGGAGATAAATGACGCATTGACGATAGTGCTGCTGAACGATCAAGGAATGATGATGTTATCTTGGTGTTTAATTGTACAATGTTCGAAGAGAGAGATACAACCGTGATTGATATTACGAGCTCGTGTCTGTGGGACTGTGACTTGTGATGTGTATGTTTAGTTGTGGCAGCGGACTTTTCCCTCATCTGCAATCATTTCTCATTCACTACACACACCTCCCGATTTCGCTCCGAGATGCGCCGACTTCAGCTAATTTCGCAGCGCTCAGAACACACTGCTCACAGATTTCATTCACACGTACCTTTCCTCGCGAGAGAATCGATTAAATGTAATAGAGCCAAAAATTTTCCTCGCCTCGGCGTTGTTGAAGAATGTAAAAGAGCAGACTCCTCTTTAAAAGCGGATAAAATTTTCAAATAGTTTCACCGGCACGCGCGGCAAAATAATTTGGATTATAATGACGTATAATTATTCAAGGAGAACAACGACGCTAAATTATTCCAATAATGACCGACCGAGTTTCTCGGATATTTGCGGTGCGCGTTTAATAGCGCGCACTGCTTTAATTCTTCCTGAAATTAATTCTTTCGGAAGATTAATTTCCGCGAGACGAGACCGGACGCCATTTAACTAACGGACAGATGCGCTTAATAACATGAACCTTTCAGGAAATCGGATTCGATGAATAAGCTATCCGCGATACAACAGGCCGTCCGCATTTCCACAAAGCCACAAATGTAGCGAGTTAGAATCGATCGTGTTACAGCGCGGCATAAAAGTTGGTCGCCAATCGGCGGGATCTACATTCCAGTCAAGGTGGCTTGACTTTCGTGCTCAATGCATCGACCTATTAATGTTCGCTTCGCCGTGTACGATACGTTCTTATCGAGAGCCGACGCCGACAATGTTTATAGATTAACGACACGCGTCGATGTTTTCTCTCTCTTTTTTTTTTTTTATAGTTTATTACGTGTATTACGCGATTAATGTGAACGTACCGCGTGCAATGTAAAAACATTACATAGAGATTATATAAAATGACGAAATATAATATGTGAACTCCTTTGAAAAATATCTTAGATATTTCACGCGGGAATCCGAATATTAAAACAAACTTCGACTCGATTCAAACTGTAATTGCTTTTCGCGCGAAAGCTGGCACTCCGCTGAGGAATGCTCGAGTCCGTTTCGGCGCGTATTTTTCGAGACGTCATATCCTACTTCCGATATCCATCTCCACGTCTCTCTCTACTTCTCGCAGTAAACAAATCCGTTTTAATTGTTTACACGCGACGACGCTGGTTGGATCGCTGGTTGGGACTCGAGTCCTTCTTGATAGATTGGGGACATTTGTGTGAGGATGTTTTGCCGAGGGACAGATGTATATCCGGAGACAAATCTGTTAGTCTCTAAAGTAGAATACGCTGTCCTACCGTAGACGACGTGATCCCGACACCCCTCTCTCTCCCCCGCCCTAGCGTAAAATAAGTACGATTTCTGTTTCTACTCTGACGAATGATAATATCTATTTGTCTAGCTTGCAGTTATGCAATTTGTCATGTAATAATGTAGTACCACGGTAATTGTTATGCGAGTTGAATAACATTGTTGATAGTGACTGATCTACATATACACATGTATTTTCTAGCAAGGTACGATGTTCGCAAGTATCTGTCTCTATAGGTTGATGGCAATGATTAATGATTAGATGGCATTGCTGATCGTTCCTTTTTGCGTTACGTACTGCGCAAATCAGAGCAATGCCTTTTAAAGAAGAAGAGAATATCCATCCCCGACGGGAAAGAGATATACGTTATTGATAGCAATCATTTTAGGGGTAAAGTTCGTAAGCCAAATCCGAGTCCTAACCACGACCTCAAGCTTCTTTCCAAGTAAATGGCAGCATGTGCACAGCATGGCTCGAAGAAAGCTTTCAGCGTATTCTTTAACAGCATCAGCTTATGTTAATATAATAAAGACAGACCTCATACGACACTTTTCTGCGAAAGGTTGTACTCTACGTGTTTACAATTGCATGGAAATTGCATCGAGCGATTTCGATGCGATGAAAAAGGTTCACACCGATCGAGATCCACGTTATCGGCACACAATAATATGCAGTATGGAATATTAATTACTTTCTTTTCTCGCGATATAAACAATATCAAAATTTTTCAAACACATGCTGACAGAGCAATTTGTCATTGTAGCGCAAATTGATTGCGGGATGTTCTTGAAAGTTTACTTATAATGTCCGGTCATATCTTCCTTTCATTTATTAAAGACGTTGAAATTTTTATTGTTAAAGTCGCACAAAGAAAAACTTGACACAATAATTTGAAGGAGTAAATATTAACAACTTCGTGCAACGTGATCGATCGGATAATTCGGAATATAGCGGCTAAAGTTGAGCTTGTTTGCTGTTTCAGGAACCTTGACTGTAAACGTGAGCGTGTTGCTGTTAAGCTTGGCTTCTCCCGACGAGTCCAGTCTGGTAATATTACACTATATTTTGTTTCCATTTTAATTTACATTAAAAGTTAATGCAACGTTAAATTAAATATTAACCGTGAATGACGATATCAAACGTAAAAAAAGAAGGAAATCTGTAACTGGGAAAAACGCAACAGTCTTCGAATAGCGTTAATTAAAACGTAATTAAATTGATGTCGATTACGGTTGCCTTTTTGCTTTCGCAGAAATACGAGGTGGAATTTCTGCTGCAGCAGCAGTGGTACGACCCGCGATTACGTTACAGCAACAGATCCAAGTTTGAGTTTTTAAACGCGATTCATCATTACGAGGATATCTGGTTACCGGATACGTACTTCATAATGCATGGAGATTTCAAGGATCCCATCATCCCCGTTCACTTTGCCCTGCGAATATACCGCAACGGCACCGTCAACTACCTTATGCGGTACTTAACGACACCGATATATTTTATTTATACACAAATTTGCATGCAAATATATCGCAAGCAATATATGCTAACTAAATTCTCGGAAAATGCGTTCAAGATTAAATATTAATCGTGCATATTTTCTACAAAATAATGAGTAAATTTTGTCGCGAGTTTAGTTTTTCAACTCTATCGCTGCGGACGACGAATATATCTGAGCTGAAAAACTGTTCGTCATTTGCGGACGCCGTATATATATATATATATATATTCGACAGACTAGAGGCAATATATTGAGTTCATCAAAAAGTTTCTTTGAATTTTTGCCTTTTATTTTTATCGAAAAATTCAAAGAAACTTTCTGATTAATCCAATATATATGTAGAAATTCAGTGTCGGAACAAAGGAGGGCTTCCGTTCCCCATTGTTGCTATATGTTAGCGTACTTTTAGCCCTTTAAAAGCTAGAAAATTTTAATCAATAAACTTTTCCGTTCACTTCCGTTCACAAAAGAAAAATGGCTTCAGGCGCTTGATCTCAGCAAGTAACACGCATACAGCGAGCGTTTTGTTTTCATTGAAGCGCGCCGCAGCAGAAAGAGTTGAGAAGCGCTTCCGCTTCTTCGAATTTCTCGAATCAGTGTTGAACAGCGTTAAAACTTTTCATTTGCTCTGCGCATTCGTCGATTCGTACTCTTCTAAACAGTTCACTGTCGTTTTACAGGCGTCACCTTATCCTATCCTGCCAGGGTAGACTTAATATCTTCCCCTTTGACGACCCATTGTGTTCATTCGCGATCGAGAGCAGTGAGTATTGCATTTAGAAACAAAACAGTTTGCGGAGATAAACGGCGCAACAGAACACAGTACACAAGTACGCTTTTCTAAACAGTTTTCGAACAATTGATCAAATCGACACGTTTATTTTTCAGTATCGTACGAGCAAACGGCGATTACGTACGTGTGGAAGAACGACGAGGGTACGTTGCGAAAGAGCCCGAGTCTAACGTCACTAAACGCGTATCTCATTAAGAATCAGACAATCACATGTCCGATCAAAGTGAGCTGGCGAGGTGAGTGAAACAATCGGATGCATGCTTCCGCAAGAGAGAAAGGAAAGAATCTGATTTATAAAAGGAATTTGTTTTAATGATACGTGCATTTCTTACAAGATGTTGTTAGATGCATTTTGTGACGTCTCCTCACGTCTTTGTGTCATCTATTCTGCATTTGTTTATTGAAATTTGTTTTCTCTTTCTTTTGTTTATATCGTATCTTTCTTTATTCCACCGAAATTTTCTTATACAATATGTTATAATTCTATCATGACGATCAAAATGTGTGATAACACGCTTGCTTCCTCGCCGATTGTCCTATAAATTTTTTTTCGGCTTTATTTTTGTCCAACAATGTGCGCAGCATTGAATTTAGCAGTCAAATCGATGCACCTAGGTGAAAGAGGTAGGGGGGGCGGGGGGGGGGAGGGA